TTGTCTATTTTCTGTGAGAGGCTAAAGATGCAGAGCACAGGCCTGATCCGGTGCCCAATCTGGCTGGCATCACCGAGACCTGTGCGGTCCGCGGGCACGGATTACGATTAGCATCTGAAACAGAACAGAAACAAGATGCTCACCAGCCCAGGGCAAAGCTTATATGCAGAAAAAGTGCACAGGACAAAACAGTCAACTTAGTATTAGTGAAGTATTTAGGCTGCAAAAAGACAAGCCAGGTGCCCAAAGCTCAGGAGTACATTACTTACTGAGCCACAGCGACGGGAAGCAGGTCTCCCCCAGCTATGTGAGCCTGAGAGCCACCAGGCTTAATTCTCATCGTAATGCCGGAATCCCATTACGTGTGGCTCCGCAGACGCCACTGCTAAGCAAATAGATAACAATGACGATCCCTCATGCTGTCACTCGGTCCCCTCCCCCGGGGCAGTTTCCCTGCCGCTGTGCCGATCCCCTGGTTTAATTGCTGTTGGCCCTGCGGCCGTCTGCCTCAGTCCGCTGGGCTCTCTGCACTCCGTACTATGTGTGTGTACCTGCGTGTGTCTGGGCCACACAAACACATGTAGCGAACGGACCCGTCACTATCAGCCCCCGCCCAGCTCCCAACCCGGCTGCCCCTGTCCAGGTTACATGCCATCCTGGGTCAGAACCCGGGAACCGCTTCTGGGCCGACAGGATCCGAGCCAAGCTAGCATGCTACGCCCACTAGCCCCGCTGCTTCGAGACGACAGACCAGTTTAGGGTAATAATTATCCGAGCGCTCAGCTAAACGCCGGTTTCAATCAACAGAAAGACATGTTGCTGTTTTGCTAAGGAGAAGGAAAACCAGAAAACCATCTTCCGGCTATGAATTGCGGCTTCGTGACATTCCCAGTCATTAGTCTGCGGTAGAAAATGAAGATCTGAAGTCGTGCTCCGAAAAAAAAACTACTCGTATAAATAATGAGGATTAATAATAGTGCAAATCAGAATAATATAATTTAATTTAATTCGGTCGCTGTGAAAAATGTAAAACGATAACGACAGCTTTTCTCTAACGATTCAGCCTCCGCGCCCCCACCCCCTCCAAAAAAATCATGGGTTTTAATTTTACACTCCAGAAACTCTAACCTCAAAGCCTGTCCGTACCCACACAGTCACACACAAGGCGAAAATAGCCTAAATTAAGTTATTCTCCGTACGTTGCAAATGTCTAAATTTTGTTATGCTGCTTTGAGAGGCTGCAAGAAAAAGCACCATTAACCGTAAGGAAGATTGCACTCAAATCAATATCCTCCCCATCAGACATAAAGGAGCTGTTTTTATGCTGCCATTTACTAAAATACATTTGCCGCATACATCACGGTCCGAATCCAAAACTCTGCACCCCCGGTGTGCCACTGAATTCAATTTAACATCATGATTATAAAAAGCAACATGCTGTAGTACAGTGGGCTTTTAAAATATACAGTTTGATTTTATATATATATTATATATTTATATATATATAATATATAACCTGTTTTTTCAGTGCCGTTATGTATATTTTCACTTGCTTTGCTGACGCTTTGACCGAAGGCAACTCGATCCATGCACTCATACATTAATAAAGTTAGATGATTTACTGACAGTTAGGCATCTAAGCTTAAACAGGGTTTTTACAGCTGGGTGGGTCTGCTCCGCAATGCAATGGAACAGATTGCTTTCAGGTCGTTCTAATAACATAATAAAATGTAATGTATATATGTATTTTTATGAATATAGACCCGGTGAGACTCTAACGTATATTGAAGGCTGTCCGCGAGCTGTGCCGTTCCCATTTTCGGTCTCTCCCTTTACCCTGTGAACCACATCACTCTGCTGGTAGGCTACCTGTCCACCTTGGCGCTGGTGGCGAGGCAGTAGCCATCTGCCATAAAAATAAAGATCATAAAGTGTAGAGAGCATGTGGGGGGTATGCGTTGTAGAAACGGTTGTGTCAGAAGAGTTTAAGGCCAGCTCGGGGAATCCCATGAGCAGCTGGAAAGCTGACGCCACAAGAAAAATATCGGCCGTCAACTATCGGTCTGCAGAGGCGTGCCGTGATTTTCTGCATGGCCAGATTTGCATTTTATGCCTGCTCCGAGCAGAGACTCAATAGGCCGGAATTATACATCTACCAATCACCACGCTGCTGAAACTTTGGACACCAAAACACCAAGTTGTATATAAAAAGTGAATTAGGGAGTTTCGCCTTTTATTTGTTGCCAGTGGTCATGTATCTAACCGAGGAAACGTTGAATTTGGAAATGCAATGTTTGAAATAAGTTGCGAGGAAACGGATAATTGTTAACAAGTCATTTTCACCTAGTGTTGAGCGGCTGTGAGTAGACGCCCCCTACTGGAAAAATAAAGGAAGACTTGCGTTCGCTGTCTGCGGGAATTTAAGCGCAATGGGGACCTCTGGTGGTTGTCGTAAAACATTACAAACGGTCGTCCATACGCCACTCTTAGGCGTGTGTTTATCTTGCCAGGAAGTGTAAACATTTCTTCACCTCCATAACTTAGCCACAGCCATAGTCAGGGGCGTAGCACCAAATTCTGGGCCCTATGCACAAACAGTGTCCATGCCCCCTCCCCCCCCCCAGCCTAATCACACAAGACTTCACTGGAATTTGGCTTTATTTGTAGAATGATTAAAAGCTATAAGAGGAAATGTCACCAAAGGCAGCCTAACATCATAGGCCTGCATGAGAATTGGACACACTTGCATTTGGCTGAAGAGAACAACTTTTTATCAAGTAGCCTATTTATTATTATTACATAAAAGAAAAATGCCATTTCAGATTTCCACATTGATTATCTTTCATTATAAATAAAGTAGTTTAACAAAACTTGACTTACTAGTCATTTTTCATTAAAAAAAAGGGCAAAAAGAAAACACTGAAAAATGGCAATGGGCAAAAAGCTAAACACTGAAATTTATATCCCAGTTAGTGATCACTGGGATACGCAGAAGTGCGGCTGTTTAGAATGTGAATAGCGATCTTCACGCGAAGGCGGTACTACACGCCCCCATGCAGGTAAAACAAAGGTGACATGGTTTACTTTTTGCCGATTTAACCTAATTTTAAAAACTTTAAATACCTCCGACAATGGACGTTTTGAAAGACAGGCTATAGATTTAGCCCGCGTTTTTTCCATGATTAAACACGAAAATTTCAGCGAGATATAAACTGAAATAGACGAGAAAGATACGCGGCATCACCAGGGACGGATTAACGCACAGGCTAGATATGGCTTAAGCCTAGGGGCCCCACGTCTGCCAGCCTGCAAGGGGGCCCCCATTGGCGCGGAGGGGGGCGGAGTTGGGGGGCCCACAGACTACTGTAGTCTAGGGGCCTCTGTGCACCTTAATCCGCCCCTGGGCATCACCGACGATGCCGTGGAACCCAGGGGGTTAAGCAAATAAAAAAAATATTTAGACTTATCTAGACTACATCATGTTAAACTATGTGTAATTTCGCGGTGGTATTGAAGTGTTAAATAATCACAGTTCATTTAATGTAGGCTATTTGCTTTCACATTTGGGCTCACCTTTCTTGGGAAAAAAGTTTGTAAGCAGTTGCTTTCCCTCATTTCTTTTTTTGTTTCTTTCCTGCCTCTCTTTTCTTTTTTGAAAACCGGATTTATCTTTCTTTGGCATCATCTTCCAGCACGGATTCAGCTGTTTCAGCAGAATGACCGCTAAATTAAATGCGCCTAGTTAAAAAGCCCGGTGAAGACTAAACCATCAATCCGTCAACCGATTTATTTTCCCACAAAAATTACATTTACATTAGTTAGCAACATTTATTGTGATCTTTGAATAATATTAATATTTAAAGGAAAATAAAATTCCAGATTCCTTAGGGGCCCTCTCCCCACATGGGGCCCTGGTAACTCAGTCCCCTTTTTCCCCCCACTACGACGCCCCTGGCCACAGTCCACGGTACACACATGCAGAAAACACACTGAAGTTAATTGCCATTACAGAAGTAACAGGTTATCAGCTCAATGTTTTATTTATGTGACTTAATGTTAAGAAATTGAAGTTAGCTATCTCACAAGTTTAGGCATGTTCGTCTCACTGAGACTCAAAGTGATTTTGATCAAAAAGTCAAGTTTGATTGTTACTGTTACACAGGTATAAGGCTTCATCATCTTAAAGAATGTTTAAAAGGATGAGCGAATTCTGGCTTCTTCTGTTATACTAAAGCTTTGTGGTCTGACAAACTCCCAGCCCCGGAATGGGTTTTAAGTCAGGTATATATTATGGGCCCATTGCACATATTATTTGCGTACTCATTCTTGTATTGCATGGTCCTGTCTTGTATTGCATTGCTGTTTTCCTACTCTCTCCCCACACACACACCCACACCCACCCTGCAACTGTGGCATAAGAATTTTACTGGGTTCCTCTGATGTTCCACACACACACACACACACACACACACACTTCCAGCCAATCACAATCCCCCACCACCACTCTCAGCCAGTCACAATGCTGGATCTTTCAACAGGGCAGTGCATTTTATCTGAGGGGGAGGGGTTTGTCACCATCCATGCACCCTCAGCCACCCGGCCAACATCTCGCCGGTGTTTTGGCAGCGATGTGAGGAGGCAGGCAGACAGCTCTGTCCCATGCCTTTGCTCTCTGTATTCCCATTTATCCTTACCGGAGCACATCAGCAGAATGTCATTGCTTAATCTGTCCCCTGGGTGACTTTAGGTCCTCCTGTCTATAGCCCTTCCAGCTTGGAGCTGCCAATGGCGGACGGACCCTAAGACCTGGAATGAAATCTGAGCCTGATGCTGGATCAGCCTGGGCTTCTCCCTCTCCCTCTCCCTGCCTCCCTGATTGTGGGCCAGCGACAGAAAATGTCCACCTCCACACGATCCCAACCATTCACACTGTCACAGCCCCATTTTAGACTGGGAAACAGTGGATAAGATAAACAGACCAGGAAGCTACCACACAGCAGGATGGTAGAATCACTTTATTTAAAGGCATATTACTTTAAATTAATGCATTATTATTATTATTATTATCATTTATCCTGGGAAAACTAACACCCCTTTCAACTTGAACCATGAATATTTTAACAGTGCACAGTTTGTTGGGCCAGTGGAACAGAGCAGTGGAGCAGTGTGCAGTGGGCGTGGACTGATGGGAAAGGGTGTGGCTTAATAGGGTGAGAATGCAATGGGAGGGCTGGAGAGGGCTGGAGAGGGCGTGACTCAGTGCATTAAGGTGAGGCACAGCATTCAAAGGTGCGGCCCAACATACCAGGGTGTGGCAGGGGAGACTCAACGGACGCTGAGGGATTCGATCCCTGCAAGCAGCATGCCGATGCAGACAGGAACATGATTTGTGTGGAGTTTCAATTACATGTTGGGTGGACTGCAAGGGAGAGGCTGCAGAGCCTCACTGACTGTACAAGAACATGTGTGCACACCCACCCCTATAACCGTAATGGTACCTCTCAGTACACCAGTCACTCACAGTGAGGATGGATCCATTTCCGTCCTCCCCAAGTCCCTGGATCTTAAACACAATATATAAACAGTAAACTGAAAATAACGAGCAAATGCAGAACACCACATCTCAGCTTTCAGGCCGGGAACCATGACATTAAAATCCAAGGAGGAAAAAAAAAAAAGAACATGGAGAATATAGTCTGAAAGCGGCACAAATCGCAGCCTGTCGGGCGTATGGAGGGTAAGGGAGGTAAAACCAATGCTAAACTACAAAACTTAAAATGGTCTGTCAACACACTCTGTTTACAGATGTACAAAGTCAAACACTTAATGATTGTAGGAGGATAACATGGCATATGAATGAGTGTGACACAGTGGAGAGCTGCAGCATCTCTTCTGGCAGGGTTAAACTCAAAGAGTTATTTTTAAAAAAGGTGTTTTATGTGGGGGAAGTGTGCACACTTTGTGTTTTGCCCTTCCATGAAGATCACAACAGATGGTCAGCACTTGTGAGAAACCCCTTTGTTCACCAGTTCTTGTATCAGGGCTCTTGGTCACCACTCTAGCTGGGTCAAAAATCGGAAGACGCCGAGTGTCGGGTTGAGAAAGTGGACGCATTTACTGCGCGTTCACATCGACTCTTTGCGGCACCGGTTCTGGACCAAGGCGGGGTCAGATCTCCTGCAGCAGGTCAGCGGGGAAGAATCCCAGCTTGCGTCCGGTGCTGACCTTCAGGTACCCGTTCACCTCCTCCCCCTTTTTGACCACAATCTGACAACATGGAAAACCAATAAGAAAGACGACATTAACAGCCTGTGTCATCATTCCTGGCTTCTGGTCTCCGTGATCTTGGTGCGCCCCACCTGGTCTTTCTTCAGCGTGATCTGCCCCATCTCCCTGTTCCCGACGAAGGAGCGGGTCACCTTGTACACTTGTTCCCCGGCTCGCACCCGGATGATGTAGGATGCTGGGAAGAAGCCAGCTTTTTCCCCGAGTTTCCCCTGCATCGACAGGACAGACCACAGCCCCCACAGCCATACGTATCAGATAAAACCAAGCTGCTGGCCTAGAAGATACCCGACAGCTACCCCAGGTCGTGGTTATGTCGGCAGCTTCAAACAAAGTGCTGGGAAAAGCCCTCGGGGAGGAAACGATACAGCGTAACATCTTACCCGCCACCACTCCTCATTGGAGTCGTCGAGCACGGCGATGCGGTCACCAGGGCTGCGGGGTCACAGACACATACCAGAGTTTGCTAGCGCTCATCGATGCCAAAAACGCAGAACCACAGTTCAGAGGAAGTTCTTATAGGGAGAGGAATGGATTAATGTAAACGGTATTCTAGGCTGCAGCCTAGGGGCCAAACCCAGCAAAATCAGGGATCCTCACTTTGATTAGCAGATTATTTACTTTACATCGATTTTAATTATACTGGCTCCAAAAAACAGTTCAGGGGTCCCACTAGTCTTGTTAGTCTAGGGTGCCCAGAGGAGTTAATCTGCCTCTGATGAGTGTGGTCAGCTCATGGAGGAAGTGGAGAAGAGGCTGGGCTGTAGGGGCAGACAGCTGAAGTGGGGTGGGGTGGGGTGGGGGGGCTGCAGGACAGAGTTGTAGAAGTGATATAGAGACGAGGACTTACTGGAGGTCCAGATCATCCTTCTCAATGGCCTTAAAGCGATACAGGGCCATGTAATAGTGTGACTGGGAGAAGACGCCGAGCTTTCCTGCTTGGGGCTTCTTGTTCTGAAACCACATGGACGGCGGCCAGGCTGTAAATCACAGCCGTATCGCATTCGCCCCATGCGAGACATTTGGCACCAATGCAGCGGACTCGATGAAAAACCAGAGTCGGGCTGAATCATAATGACCCCCAATCTGGCCGATAGGGGCCGGGGCAGACGTGACTCCGTACCTTGTCGTCAGCCGCCGATTTGTCTCCTTTCTTATCGCCTTCTGCGCTCCCTGTAACGTCAAAGAGGAAACTCACACGCACGTCTCCTACACCCCATATCATGCTGCCATCGCCACGGGAACACCAGCCTCCTCCTGTCTGACTCTCAGCTAGCTGAGACCATCGCGGGGAGCGGCGCGTCGAAGATCAGGCGCGGACGGGTAGACTCACCGCCCTCTGCTCCACCTTCCTCAATTTTGGGCGGGATCTCCTCCTCTTCCATCATCATCATCATCATCTGCAGCATGGAGAAGCGCCGCATTCAGGCCATATGTCACAGCATTCAGCTGAAGCTACAATTACCGCTTTGCACTGACAGCTAAACATCATCGCTTCTGGTTTGCTTCCTGCTTCCTACCAGCAGTTTTTTTTCCTTTTTCTTTTTTTTCGTGTGAACGCCGTGTCAGGAATAGCACTGTGGAGATGTCCCTCGCATTACACCCCCTGAGAACGGGGTGGTGGTGGTGGTGGTGGGGGGGGGGGATACAAAAACCTCAGTGGGGTCACGATTTAACAGCTGCTCACATGGTTCCCGTCCCTCTGCACCTGTCAGCGCCACACCTGTCCGTGAAATTGCACAGTCAGCCGGGCGACAGAGAGGCCCTAAAGCCCACCAGGTTCGGTTGGCGTGTGCTGTACACAGGCAGACAGGATGATGGCTTTAAGGAAACCAAAGATGTGCGATTTGAAAACCCAACAATAGGAGGCTGGACAGTTAATACTGAAGACTTAACTATTATATTGTTATATGCGATAGCGACATTAAAACAAGCATTCTTCGTTTTTTTCTGCATCCAAAGTGCGGGTTGCCAGGGAAACGGAACAGGCACGGCTTTCATGGCAGGCCACAGCCCCGCCCCCGCCCCCGCTCCTAACGGGAGTCTCCTTGACGTCAGAGCGGACGCCTTCACTTCACGCTTCCTCCCATCCGCCGCTCGCCGGCGTAAAAATAGCCGCACGCCCTTACTGCCGCGGCAGCTGCACACCGGAGGGTCGCCTCTCATTACTGTGCCGACAAGCACACAGTGGAGCGGGCAGTGGCCGTGGGGGGGGGGCGGCACTGCTGGGACGCCGGCGGGGGCCCATGAGCGGCCAACAGCCGGAAGCCGCCCACATCCTGAAGCTCTCAGGTCCAAACGTCTGGTCCAGCCCACCGCTGGCCAAATGCACACACATCTGTCACACAGACACTCCACAAAATTCATCTCCTATTACTGTCCTCCCCTTGTCTGTGAGCATGTCGCCTGACACGCCAAGCATATAACAAGTGACACATACTAGTTGGAACGTCGTGCATCGAAGGTGATTTCCTGTCGGTGACAGTAGGCCAATATCTGAATTTTTAATATTAATTGCGAGCATATTCATTGCCCTGTGCTTCTTACTTAAAGCATTACTCAGTCAGCTGGGGCTCCTGTCGTTTCTCCTTGCCAAACAGTTGTTTTTAGATCATTTTTGATTTTATCCCCACATTGATTCTGCAGCCATATTCCTGATTTTTCAGTTTCTTAAGCAAATGACTAAGATATTATCGCCATTTCCGACTGACATTCACAATGATCCACCTTCTCCTCTTAAATCCAGTGACCCTTCTGAATGTTTTTGTTTTTTTCTTTCTTCTTTTACAGACCTCAACCTGCCTGGCAGACCACAGAGCAGCAGGAGAGCACCACCTACGTTCTTCTTGTCCTCAGAGCCCTTCTTGCGCTCCTTGTTGGCCATGATGACTCCAGTGCGCAGTGTTTCAAACACGGGGTCAGTACGGTTGGACTGTGCTGGCCAGGGAGGAGAGAGTCCGTCAGGGAGACGAGTGCGAGGCACCAGCACATGTCACATGACACATTTTATCATTAGCATTATCATTAGCATACCAACACACGTAGCGTCCAATTTTTAATACTCAACAGTAATTATATAGTTAACATTTCAGCCCCACACTCATGATTTGGAAGCTGTCTGAGGGCCGAACGTTTTCACTTGAGCTGAACAAAAACACATTATATAAGCAGCAGTGAAATGAGGTTTGGGAGATGGAGCAGGTTACATAACAACGGGATGCAAGCGAGCGCAGGCCCTGGTGCGGGATGTCGGGGTTTGGCTCACAGAACGGCAGAAGCTCCTTCACGGTGGCGTTCTGCTGGCTGCTGTAGAGAGGAGAGCTGTAGGCCCGTCTGAAGCCAGGGGGCTAGAGGGAAGGGGGGGGGGACAGGGGGGTGGAACAGGAGGAGAGGGAGAGGAGGACAGAGAGGAGGACAAGGGAGTTTAGGGAAGAAATGAATGGGGAAGTCTTCAGCGATGCTACTCATGTCTTATTTAATCATGTCTCAGATTGAAGTCTTTGGCAAAAGCACAGAAAACACATCTCTGCCTCAAAATAGCATCATTCACAAAGACCTGCAAACGTGCTGATGAGGAATCGGAGACTTTATTCCCTCTGATGTGTCCTTTGCATGCATCTATGTTGAGTGTTTGTCTACAGTGATGTTCATTGATATTTGTGGCCCAAGGCTCTATTTTGGTACTACAGTCACTATAGCGCTCAGGTAAGAATTTCCTGGAAGATGATGGATGGATGGATGGATGGATGACAAGCTTTGAAAATCGAGCTTGCTTGTGTTGAGAATGGAGACTAAACTAAAGGCACAGAGGCACTCCCCGCGAATGCAGCGTAGACGACAGGCAGACCGTCAGCCAGGAGGCGAGGCAGCTCACGATTTTGCCGAAGCATCTCTGGAACTCCACGTAGGACTGGCACTGGTGGTGGATGTTGGTCTTGCAGTTTTTACACCTCAGAGCAAATTTGTTGTTGACTGAAGGGTAAGACAGGAGAGAGAAGCGAGGAATTGACGCCAATATCAACCCCTTGTACACTAATTAGCATGCACTAGCCACTCAGTATCTATGCAAGTAATGCTGAATGCTCTGCCCTAAAGTATAACAGACAGAAATGCATTAAATACATCTCATGAAAGAGCAGGAGTAGCACATTACTGAATAGTGAGGTGCAACAAGAAATCAAGGCTCAAATCCCAAGATGGAAAAGCAGCATTTGGAAGCATTTTCCTTAATTTTTTTTGTGTTTAAGGTTTAAGGCTTAAACACTCAGCTGTGCAAGCCTGCAATATCTGACATCACACATGTTGCTATGGGTGAAGGTGCGGAGGTCACAGTGAAACAGATGCATGGTGCTCTGGCAAACTCACGGACTATCATGCGGGCGCACACGTCGCAGAATTTGGGCTTTTTGCAGTAGTGGTCCTTGAACTTGTGGGGCTTGTCGTTGACAGGTTTGACTGGCTCTGGGGGCGGCGGCTCCTCCTTCTCCTCCTCCTCCACCTCCTCGTCATAGACGAAATACACCTGCGGGCCGACGGCCGAGTCGTGTCTCCCTCAGTGGCGGTAAGCTAGCCGGGCTCCATACGATACAGAAATGCAACGTGACGCGGCAAGCGTAACGCAACTGCAGCCAGCATCGGAGAGGCTAAGGACTCAAAAATCACAGTTCCGTGACGGGTTCTGGTGTCGTACCCATGAAGATAGCATGACACACAAATGCATTCTTTCATTCTGTGCAGAACATTCGCATAGACATAATTGTGGGCATCTCCTGTACTTTGTTGACATAAAAATGCCTCAAGCCTTACAAGCCAGCAGATACTCAACCCCCCCCCCAGTGCTGTGACTCACAGCTACAGCCCACAGGTATGTTAGTCACATGCCATTCTCCGATGCAACTTCCTACGTAACAACAGATGACCGGAATGTTTTCCATGACACGTGCCATTCTAATACGTGTAGGATTAAGCACCTGTACCTTTAGAGCTAATTATAATTAGTAACATTGGAAACAACTGAAATATGAATAGGTTCATATCTCATCCCATGCAGGGCACCCAGTCATGTGCCCTGGGCTTTACCCAGCGGGAGATGCTGCAGGCTCACTGCCTCGGTGTAACGGATGAGCAGTTACGGAATCTCATACCTGAAAAGATTTCCTCAAACGGTCAGCTGGACTGACCACAAATCAGAACGATTGATTGATTTTTTTTTTTTTTTTTTTTGAACATCCGGCATGATACTCAAGCCAACAGCAAACCACAGTAAAACCTCCCCTGAAGCTCCTGTGTTTAACCTCGCTCACGACCCCTTCGCCGCTGTCAATCCATGCTACTTCTGCATCGAGCAAAGGCCCATCCGTACCTGGAAGAATCCTGGAATAGGCAAATCTTTCTGTAGCATCCCAGCTCCCCAAGTAGAGAATCAGGAACATTCCTGTCTTACCTGAGGAACATTCCTCATTCCTTATCCCTCGTCCTGGACTCAGAAGGGGCTTTTACCCTTGTTTATAGAAGCACCGAGTGCCACCTCATCCGTTCGCGGTCCAAGGTGCTCCCATCCCCTCAACCTGTCCATTGTTACCTCAGCCCCTCTCGTTCCACCCTTCCTCAAAGCACAGCCCCCCCCCCCCCCGGAAACCTTGAACCTCTGTTTTATTAATTAGCTCCCCCCCGTCACATGCTGCATCACTCCACCAGCTCTACTCTGCTCCAGCGGCGCAGCTGTGGAATTAAGGGAGGTCCGAAAATAGACTTCAACAGAGACCCGGAAAAACTCCCAAACGCAACTGATGTAGAGTGTTTGACACCGTTCCTAAATATACCGTAAAGCGCGCAGCCTGTGCTCCAACATGGCCGAAACCTCAGCTTATTATCCCCCGTCCAGTTAGCCTGCTTGCCGATGTTGATTCTGTGTGGGTCTGAAAAGGTCTGAAGGAGATGGCTTGAAGGAGTGTTTAAGCCTCAATCTGCACAGCTGTCCTATTAGGCTCTCTTTTGGCACGCAAGTACAGAGGGTTAGTGAAACACTGATTTACTGTGGGATCACTTAAGGGAGCAACTCTACCATGTTGTCGCTTTCTTTGACAACGTTCTCCGGAACTGGCGGGTTGTCATGGATGTCCAAAGAATCCTTGTCGTCTAGTCTGAAACAGAGGCACACGGCAGAGAATTTTGGGTGTGCTGGACACAGTAACGGATAGACCGGGGAAATGTGACGCATGTGTGACTTGGATGACGACAGACACACAGATTTCTGTGTGCCTAAAAGTATTACAAAGATGGAGTTTGATTTGCCAAAGTATCATTAACATGACCCAAGACAGATGGTCTCAAAATTTCCCTTATTGTTAGCAAAAGCAACACTTAAACTTCAGAAGAGCTTAACTAAAGGGTAGACAATGTGCACTATTAGCTATCAGTCAATTCACAGATCTCCTAATTCTGCTGCACCAGTGGGATTAATGAGGAAACACTGCCCAGTTTTAACCCAATAGGAAGCAGATGCGACCAATCAGTGACTGAGAAGACACAAAAGGGCGGGTCTTACATAAACGAAGGACTTTTTGATTTGTTAAGCAGCACCAGGTAGGATACAGAAGGCCAGCAACCGCGACATCACAGGCATCACAATGCAAAGACAAGCCCACACACAGGCAGTGGGACTCACTGGTCATACTGGGCCATGTTGTGATGAAGGTCAGACTGCTTTCGTGCAGCTTAGGTCAGCAAAGGGGAGGGGGAATCTGTGGAGATAATGGCTTTAATGTTCATGCACTAACACCTCGCAGCTTTACACATTCAATACAATATCAGATTTTGGTCTAGTAATTACTAGCAGACATGGGATTCTCACTGTTTATAGCCAATGTTTGATTGTTTTCTGTACCAAAATAAACTAATAAATCCCTCTCTTAGAATACATATATCAGATATATATACCAGATATATATTAGATGCACACAATAGTAGAGAAACTGGATGATGAACACTGCTTTGACTTTTAAGACGCTCGATGAAAGCAAACAGATGAGACTCCGTCACAAACGGACGCCTACAGAGGAGAAATGCAATCCTCTCGGGGTTAAAAAGGAGCACAACTAGAATAGCAGTGAGGAGCCACCCCGACTTCATCCTCAGCTACGTCATTGTGACTTTTAAACATCTCCGTTACCCTCATGACAGAATGGGGTTTCAGATTTTTCCAAAAAACCAACTGAAAAATGGCAAGCTCAAGACACATCTAAAATACAGAGATGGGCCAGGAAAGACTGTCCCCTCCCACAATAAACTAAGTGACCAGAGCATTGACTTCCCCCCCAAGAATTCCTTCCTTACCAGTTGGGTCGCTTCCTTGCGGGAGTGGTCCGCACGATCTGAAGACACGCAGTTGGACACCACGCGGATTTACAGATCGTTTTCCTGGGTTTGGTGCTTTAGGCAATCAGCTTTCCAGAAAGAGTTCTGACAGGTGGAAGCAGCGAGGGCAGCGTGTCCCCAACACTCCTGGGCTGTTTGTGTGTCAGAGTGACAGCTTGGGACAGCTGCCCCCCCGCCCCTACCACAACCCTAACCAAGCATAGCTGACGAGGAGAAATCAGAGACCACCTTCCCCCCAACCCCAATACAGAGACCCCACCCCATCTAGCTATCCCAGGCAGACACACATCATCGCCTACATCGTAGGGAAAAAACAGCCACTGAAACTGACATCAGAGGAAGGCATCGCTCAGGCCTTCAGTGATGAGCAGCCCGGCAGCGTAAATGGAACTAGCAAGTGGGATTATAATCACGTGGAGTGTAGAGTGAAGAGTGTAGAGTGTAGAGTGTAGCACGCATACAAGTTGTAAGCTCCATCTTCAGGAGATCTGCAATCACGACCCACATCCAGACCTTCATGTGGTCCTCCTGTGACTGAGAGCCACAGTTCATGACGGAGTGACGAATGGTGGGATCTACCAACCCGGGGAGGAACACCAGTGACACAGGCGCACAGCAGAAACCACACCAGGCTGGTTTTTAACCTCATCATTTATATTTTTAAAAACAAACAAAATAACAGATTAAATAAAATTTACAGTAGACATATGCAATCATTGTGCACTTCTTAAATAACTTTTGATACGTTCTGCACAGCTGTCAACAAAAAAACGCAAACACAATAAGGAGGGGGTAAGTGACGGAGAGAAAGGGAGGAGGGGCAAAGGGGGCTGAAAAATCAGGGAGCAAAGGGGGCATTAATGGGGGTGGGTCGGGGGGGGTCACTGAATATATAGATTTCTTTAAATCCTTACATCACTTATATAAATATTGAACCAAGAATAATTAACAAAAACATTTGAAGGGAGAAAAAAAAAAAACGCGCAATACAGAAACCCACAACAGCAGTAAGGCCAACAGAAAGCGAGAGAGAGAGAGAGAGAGAAAGAGAGAGCGCAAGAGGGAGCGAGAGAGAGAGGAAGAAACTGTGCGTATGAAAGACTAAAAGTATTCGACAGATTGTAAGAGTTGGGGGAGAGGGGGGGAGAGCCAGAAAGGGGGCATGGCTGAGAGTACGGAGGAGAGGGGGAGAGAAGAGGAGAGAAGAGGAGAGAGCAGAAGGTGGGAGCAGTCAAAGGGAACATCTGAGGCTGATGATCCAGTGTCCTTCAGTGTGCTACGCAACCGCGCGGCACGTGTGCGTGTGCGTGTGCATATACACTGCAACAATGACACACGTGATCACGTGCCTTGTGTGCTTCTGGTATAAACAAAAAAATAAAATGAAAAAAAAAAACAACAAAACCAACCCTGTGCTACTGGAGAGCGGACAGAAGCACGCCCCCCCCCCTTCGGCTGTGATGCCTCGCCCCCACGCACACGCACACACGCACACACGCACGCACGTGCGGATGCCCCCTCCCCTGCTCTCTCCTGCTCCCCCTCACTGCGAGCTGGCTCTCTCCAGGATACGCAGGTCATAGTTCTTTTTGGCTGCTCGCAGCTTGAAGAGGCTCGCGCTGTTGTTGAGTTTGAAGGAAGCGCTCTGTGCGGCCATGGTGTTGGGGAACACGGCTACCACTGTGTACAGGTGGGCGGGGTCTCCAGCCTCCCCCTTGCCAGCGCCGGGCCCCGCCGCTCCCCGTGGCCCCTGGGAATCCTTAAGCCACTGGATCTTGGCGCCGCACAGCGACAGCTGGTTGAAGAGCTTCTCAGCCTCGGGCCGCGAGATCCCCTCCGGCAAATCCGTGACCTCCAGTACCCGGCTCACCACTGCCACCCGGCGGAAGACGGAAAGGGGGGAAAGGTCGGCTCAGATCGGGGGAGGGAAGGGACCCGGGATCATCACGAATGTATCTGTGCGATTACACTCCCAGTGCATTAAATCGGACATGGCGACACCTGTGACCAAAAACGTCTGCAGCCACTGCTGCCCCCTGCTGGTGACTCACCCACGTCAGTGGTGCCCAGGTCTGTGGAGGCGGATTTTAGTGTCTGTCTCTTCCCTCTCGTGCCATGCTTCATTCCACCTTGGCCCTGGAGTGAGGTAGAAACAAAATGGCCCTTTGAAATAACAGTATGAGGGAGTGGGAGAGAGAGAGAGAGAGAGAGAGAAAATAAGCGAGAAGGAGAGAGAGAGAGAGAGAGAGAGAGAGAGTGAGCAAGAAGGAGAGAGTGAGAGGGAGGGAGGGAGAGAGCGAGATGGCCAACCTGATGGGAACTGTAGGACTGGTTGTGCATTACTGAAGGTGGGCAGAGGCTGTACTGCAGAGGCTGCCCGAGGAGAGAGTAGCGCCCTTCCCCTGTGAGAAACAGTACCGACAGTCAGCACTGCAGACGGACATCGACACAGTTCACAGTACATTCTGCACTCCGGAACAGTCCGTGCTGTCTGAGCACTGAAGGGCTGAGCCTGCATCAGGAAGGGTTAATCATCATGCGTCTGTTTGCTTTCTGAAGGCAACCAACAGTGACAAGGGGGGCCTGCTCCCCTGAACGTCTGCATCATACCCATATCGCAGTGGGGAGGACACTAGAGAGCAGCTCATTCAGAGGGCTAACCGCCCGTTTGTTTGGCGAGAGCCACCGTCTGCGGCTGCGGGGGGACTTCAGTAGTACCTTGCGCAGGTCCTCCGGGGCGGGGAAACTGGGAGATTAAAGGGAGGGGCCCCAGGCCGGGACACATGCTGCTGACGCTGCCGGAGGGAGAGGGGGTGGGGGACTGGGTGGGGGAGGCCAGGGGGCTGCTCAGTTGGGTACTGACCTGTAACAGCAAGGGTCATACATGGTATTAGAATATCAATAGAATGGGCAGCAGCTATTTCCTCACTGATGACACCTGAACGTGGAATTTATGTACTTAGCTTTTTTTATTATTATTATTTTATTTTATTTTTAATCTAGTGACTTTACGCCATTTACTGCAATGACAGGACGTAAGTACCAAGCCCAACGGAACTAAACCAGGACCATCCCTGGGTGAAATATCTGCTCGTCTCCGGTAGCTGAGAGACTGACCGTGAGCTGCATCAGCGCCCCCTACCTGCGGACCCGAGTCAGGCTTGTACAGCTCTCCGGGCTTGTTGGGCCTCTGCTCCAGACTATAGTACTTGCAGGGGTTCCACTGCACCATGGGGGGGTTCTGGGTGGGCTGGGGGCCGTTTGGGACACTCAGCTGCATCACCATGACACCGGGGCCAGGAGGGGGAACACCTGGCGCAACATGCAGGTAAACAGGCAGCTCAGAGACACACATACACAGACAGAAAGACACACATGACCTTGTAGCTAAACATTATTATAAGAATGATGGACTGCTTGCATGAACGCTTCCAGGTTTGCTGTATTACGGCTACTTTGGTTCCGGTCTTACTTGATTGTATGAGGTTGCAGCCTGAAATGTTTTATACTAGCTGTCGCCACGAGCTACCAAAGATAAACGTACATGACATTCATTATATTTGCAAGATGATGAGCAAAGCACCATCCAGCAAGCTGGAAAAAGCCTTCAAACTGTACGCATTGTGCACACTGTCTTCGTACCTTGTCTATTTGGCACTATACGTATATTCGTCAGGCAAGCTAACAGCTAAAACGATCCAGCCCCTGAACAATCAGAGAACCCACAATGTTGTGTGAAATGAAAATATTTCTTGTTATTGGTATTCAGTGTCAAATAGAGACAGGCTGTCGGGGCGAGATCCTCGTGCTGCAGATCGATGAGGGAGCTGCCATACAAATTAAAAAGTTGGGAAGAAACTGTTCATAATTCACCTTGCTAATGTACAGTTAAGCTTCAAGTTCAGATGTTTAAATCTGACATGACTAAAATGTCTGCTGCAAGCCTTACTGTGTACAGAGACTGTAAAATTGCCATTTGGAATGTTTACAAGCCACTGGTTTCTTAGATTGAACTGGGAAACAAACTGACGATAAATTTTGAAGATGCTGTATACAGAGGAATTCAATAATGTGCAAAATAATTTCTCTTGCCTCTGAATATATTGTGTATTGAATATCTTCTGGCCATTCATTTTAAAAGAAATAAAAAGACAGATACTACTTTGATGCTACCTATACCAATTGTACTGCAAGTAAACAGACAGTCTGGAAGCCGTATTATTTTAAAACTTAAGTGTGTCACAGCGTGTTGTGCAAGTACTGCACTAAGGTCATCAAAAGATACATGCAGACTGCTTTGTGCACTATGATCACATTTATAGTAACGTGCAAACGTCGTAGGAGGGAAAAGAAATGATGTTTAAATAATCATGTTGGAGTAAATCTACACTCAAAGTTTTTGCACATCACAGGTTTTTACCACTTTTCCATTTATTTCATAAACTGCAGATTTTTTTATTCTTGTTAAGCACTGGAAAGGTGAGTGAACGACTAGAAATGAAAATATGACAAATACTACACGTTTCCTTCATAACATGGAAAGTGTGTGTAACAGGGCATGTCTGACATCCTATTAACTGGTTGTGTGGTGATGGCACAGTCAAATTCTAGGCTGTCCTTTAACTTTAAATGCACTAGTTAATGGTTTCATCCCATGAAACAGAGCAGTATTTAATGTTCCTTGCAGAAGGAATGCCTTGAGCTTCCTCTGCTGTTATAACGGCTAGAGGAGGTTACTTTGATGAATGAAAGCTATGACATTTTCTTGCTAATAAAGGTACTCAAATGGTGAACATACTGTATTTGTCAGCAAAGAATACGGATTGCATTTTTAGTAAATGTTAAGTATCATGCAAATGTAGAAAATCTCACTGTGCGCCAAAACTTTTGACTGGTAGTGTGTATCTGTGAAACTGGCAGCTTAGCCATTTCAGAACTTCTCATAAAATCACAAAAGTATTTGTAGCAAACCTCAAATATACTCGTGTATTTTATGACTCGACCACTAACACACCTGGTGTGGTTAATCTATACCTCACTGAGTTGTGAATTTAACACATGGAATGGCTGAGGTGCCCCTGAGGAGAGGTGTGGGAACCAAAGCGGTGTTCATCTAATGAGACATCAGTAATTTTTTGGAGAACAATGAATTCTTGCTAGTTTTTATTGTTGTTTTATTTTTACTTTGTAT